AGCTTATGTCCTATTCTTTTATCAATGCCTTCTTTAAGGTGATCCTCAAAGTTATGCCCACGTAATATGAACTTTACCTTGCCCTTATGGAATTTCAATTATTATTTAATTTGTTCTTTACAATACTTTTGTGTCATTTTCGAATCTTTTTAAAACAATAAAATGTATATACCAGCGTTTAATCTTTCCTTTGTTTTTTATCGATAGTTCGTCTCTATCTTGGTGAGCACGATGAGGAATACTTGTTCACTCTTCCTAACGCTTACGGACGTTCACTTCTCACTATACCCTGGGTTGAGCTAGTCGACAAAGTTTATATTACTTGTCCTCAGACTGGTTACTTCGCTAATGTTACATTCCTTCCAAAGGTTTGTTCTTCTGTTTTTAGTTTTATTGTTATTAAATTTTATTCTGATTTACTTTTTCGTAAGTTTAATATTTGTATCTCCCTCAATCTTTCGAGTATAGTACTTGACCCATGCTTTCTCACTAGACACACTGCATTTAACACATCGGCGATGCCACCATTGGAAGGGTTAACCAGAATAGTATGTGCGAATAGACAGTAAATTATTCTTTTATCACTTAATGTTGGTTCGGCCTCGTTTTCGCAACTTGGTCGGAGCGTCGGGGAGACATTGTGGAACGTACCTAGTCATTTTGTTCGTGATTTCCAGCATTGGATCATTGATTTGGTTCATTCCCAGACGGTCGCTAGCATCGTCGGTTAGAGGCGACATAGTTACAACATATTAAAGTGACAAGTGAAAGCCAATTTTCTGTTCAACCGTGTTGGCATCACTCCTCGCCCCTATCTTGTCTTACCTTTTCTCTCTTAACCCCACTTCATATGGCCAATCTATCTATTTGCACGATTCTTTGCTATCGTTTTTACTGTCGCCTAAGAGTTTGCCTCTACAAGTTGGTTTATGGAGGCATAATTATCTCCACCACCGGTACCAGGTGCCTTTTACAGAGCTCTTGACCTTCCTCTGCCCCTTTTTCTTATACCGCTTGTCAATTGGTCGCTGCTTAACATCAAAATCACTGTCTGGCTGCCTAAGAGCCTTCCTTTACCGTCTCTATTACGCCATATTCAAGGAAGATGAACTCATGCAGCCTGAGAATTTTCCTGTTTTGGCAAGCTAGTGTAGAGGGTTTCCTTCAGGATTGTTCATATGTTCTATTTTCATTGTATTCGCCCCAGCCTCTGAGCTAATTCGCAGGAGAGTTAACACATCCATCGTTTTTCCTCTGTTTCTCTTGCTTTCCCGTCATAATCTCCGCCCTTCCATCTCTTGATCAACATCCACATTGTGTTGTACTGCTCCTTCTGGACATCCGTTTCCAAGATACATCTGAGTTAGTTTTACAGTTCCTCTTTCCAGAACTCAGAATAAGCGAGTTGTCTTCTTATGGCCATACTCCCTAGTATCCTTATCTTCATTACATTAGTATGGTTATACTTGAAGTTAAGAGTTATTCTAGAATTCGATTTTAAACTTAACAAAGCAGCCAACGTCATCAATAGGAGGAACGAGTATATAAAGTTGATTAGGAACTATTTGTGGCTGTTAGATAGGCTTAAGAGAGAGCGAGAGGGAGGTTAGGAAAAGCCACTGAACAAGAGGAGGCTGTATTAACATCTAGTCTAGCCAGAACTATCACGCTTCTCATGATACGAAGATTACATACATACAGACAAAGTCACAAGCCCAAACATGATTCAACATTAGAGTATCGTATCTAGTTCATTTGTGTAAGGAAACAGCTTCCATTGAGCGCACTTCTGGCTCGGGAAGTAACTTCACTCATTTGCAAACATGTTTAGTAAGCTTGAAGTAGTCATCCAAATCATGAGATGCCTAATTAAGATCGCGATGTGAGATGTATAAAAAAGCCACTAAGGTTGCAGCAGACCACCTTTTCTCTTGCTCTGATGATGTCTGTCACAGAACAGACGAAAGCTTAGCACAGTTTCATCGGGTTCACAGGACGGTGAGCCTATGACTTCTTTGCACAATTTAACAATCTTCCCAACGCGGCAATCCTCCTTTGGCTTCCAGTCAGACCACATCACAAATTACTTCCAACCAACTTTCTCTTCGAAATGGAGAGTCATGCCACAATATCCCACAGCTTTGTCAAATTTCGTATAAACCAATTAACTAGATTAATGAGGTGTTTTTACCTTCGTTTATAGTGTTGGGCTAATGGTTAAATTTTCCCAATTGGCATTCTGTTCCAGATTTAACTGCAATTTCGACCTCTTAAGCCTCATCAGCAGTATATAGAATCGGCACGGTAACCCCTATGTCACTTTCCCACGGTTGGTCTTTCGCCACAAGAACCCTACTTATAAGCAGATTTACATTCCTTTTTACGATAAATATTCCTTGCAATA